TTTATTGACAGGGGCGGACTTCGGAGGATGAATTATTAAAAATAAAAATTTCAATCGAGCTGGCTTTGGCAGCCGGTTGTTTTCCTCTACGTAAGTTTCGTTCCAACTCAAATTAATTTTAAATTCTTGTCAAAGTCTTGATCCTCAAGGTAGTCTTATACTAAGTTCCTATTCACATACTCTGGGAGTAGGCTGGGAGTCTGCTGCTGACGTCATGCATTTCCCCACTCAATACAACACAAAAAACGTTTCCCCTACCAAAAGATCTATTTTATCGGACTCATGCAAAATATTTGACCCTTTGGGTATTTTATGTTGTTTGACTATAGTGCCTAAAATTTTAATTCAAAAATTATGGTTAGCTAAACTTAATTGGGATGAGCCCGTGCCCGATTTTATTGAGGCATCTTGAAGACAATTTGTTAACGGTTTATTTTTATTACAATCACTACAAATTCCTCGGCACGTGTTATGTGATTCCTCTAACTATATAGAAATGCATTGTTTTTGCGACAGTAGTAAGAACGCCTATGCGGCTTGTGTTTATCTAAAATCTATGAATCATCGCGGTGACATCGCAGTCCGGCTCCTGTGCGCCAAGGCGCGCGTGAGTCCGGTGGCACCCACTACGATTCCCGATTAGAGCTCTGTGCTGCAGTGCTCGGCGCTCAGTTAACGACAGCCGTTGTGCGCACATTGCGCCTGCCAAATTAATCGTAATTTCTACTGGGCGGACTCTTCAATAGTACTAGCGTGGTTACAAACTAGCCATAATAATGTTAAACACATTTGTTTCGAACAGAGTAGCAACTATTTTGGAATTAACTGACGGCTCCGTGTGGCGTCACGTGCCCTCCGCGTGCAACCCTGCGGACTATGCATCTCGCGATGTTGACGCGCATAACTTAGATAAATTATACATGTGGTGGAACGGACCATCCATGAATCTGAATGTAATTGGCCACAATTATATACTAATAAATTAAATTTTGATGATATTCCGGAAGTGAAAACAACTGTTATGTTAACAAATGAAACTCAAACCAATAATACATTAATTAATTTCGATAAATATTCTAAACTTAAAACTATTTAACGGTTTTTTGCTTATGTACTTAGGTGCCTACATAACTGCCGTAATACAAATAACAAGCTCATAGGAGTTTTGCAGCCTGAGGAACTCGAATCTTCTTTTAAGCGATTAGTTAAAATGTCGCAATCTAATAGCTTTCATGTTGAATTAAAAACTCTTGTAAATAAACAACCATTGAGTTCTAAGAACTCCCTTATATCATTGAATCCCTTTTCAGATAGTGAAGGCATTTTGCGTGTAGGTGGCCGCCTCAACTCATCATATTATTCTTTTGAAAAGCGCCATCCTATGCTTTTGCACGCTAAACATAGACTTACGAGACTACTCTTTCAGCAGGAGCATATGCGTCTCTTTCACGCTGGTCCCCTGCTGCTTCTCAGTTCCACGCGTGAGTACGTGTGGACTGTCGGCGGGCACGACCTCGCCCGCACTGTTGCTCGGCAGTGTGTGACGTGTCGGCGCGCTTGCTGCTAGAACCCTCACTCCTCTCATCGGAGCGTTGCCTTCTGAGCGCGTAACTCCCGACTTTCCATTTGTTAGTGTCGTTGTCGATTTTGCTGGACCGTTTTTAATTACAGATAGGAAGGGACGAGGTTGCAAAATTAACAAATGTTACTTAGCTATTTTTGTTTGCACTAGGTTTAAGTGTATTCATTTAGAGGCCGTAAGTCAACTATCAAAGGAAGCTTTTATATTATCTTTACGTCGTTTTATATCTAGACGCGGAAAGCCACGTGAGATTCTCTGCGATAATGGTAGGAATTTTGTCGCAGCCGCCACAGAGATCTGTAACTTTTTAAACGAAAATTCTACTTCTATCTCCTCCTTCGCGTCAGAGGAAGGGATAAAATTTAAAGTTTCAACCAGCCTACGCTCCCCATTTCGGGGGGTTAATCGTGTTAGGGGTTAAGTCTGCGAAGTATCATTTAAAAAGAATTTTAGGCAACTGTCACCTAACTTACGAGGAATTGGCTACCTTATTCAATCAAATAGAAGCCATCCTTAACAGTCGTCCTTTGTGTCCTATTTCTTCGTCCCCAAACGATTTCCAACTTTTCAAGAATTTCAAGACTTTTTTCCTGGACCAGACGGGATTTCACGCGTGGCTGACGTTACTACTAACACTGGCACCTATCGACGAGGTGTGAAATACCTCTGCCCCTTATTGGACGAGCCTACAGAATCGTTGAAGACTTCCGTCTTCAAGGGCCCCCAGGATGTTCACCGCCGTGTCTTAATGGTGGTGCGGCGGAAGGAGTTTAAAACCGGTTACTCGCTGGTTATGCGATCGCCCCACCTTCACCTCTACGCGCCGACATTCGACGACTTATTTTGCCTATGTATACACGTCTTACATTATGTACTAATATTATATATATCGGAGAAGGGGTGTACGTCGGGGCGGTTGCCTTTTCCCGAATACATATTGTGTGAGTCCGTGTGGTGTTTTCTCGAGCAGAAAACAAAGTAGGTACAAACAAATAATCCTTTAATAACAAGTAGGTAACTTTAAAGGTTAAACAACGAGTCGTAAGGCAGTTCCTAGACTTGTTGTCCGCGCGGCGGTCGATCGGTAAGTGTCTGCCGCTCGGCCCGCGCGAACACTTATATAGACTCTGCCGAAGCGATGACGTTTCACCGCTTACGCCTCGTTGTCAAATCAGCTCCCGTACTATTGACCGTTCCGACACGGCCATCCTACGGGACGCACGTCTCTGTGTGTTACCCTGAAACAACATTCAACAAGCAGGATCGCATAGCTCAGTCTCCCGTGACATCGCACCAGTAATCAATCGAGAGAAGTTCAAAGCAAAACTTTTAACATTAAACCAAAGAGTTCATTATCAAATTTAAAATAATAATAATAAAAACAATAATCGAAACACTCAAAACAAAACTGACTTGATTTCACGTTGTCTCATAAGAGACATCAATCAAACTAGGTAAACCGAAATACTTAAGCTCTGCATGTGATATCTTGCTATACATAGCCCAGTAACCTCCAGTTACTCATCCTTGTGCGAACCCCTCATGGGAACGCCGAGTCTCTCCAGGACTCCATGGTTTCCACTGAAACCCGACCTCCGCCAGAGTTGACTGCTTACCGCGTACTCACGGACTACATCAAGCAGAACCGATTTCTACTGAGCTAACGGCTACACGTCAACCTCTGGTACGGTCCAATCATCACGCAAACTTAAGTAGTCTCCTCAATATCTCAACTACTTTGTTCTACATCGATCTCGTCAGTTATGTCCTGGTTATCCGGCATTTTTCGCAACTTATTATGAGCGTATTTATAGGTACGGTTACAGTTAAGGGCCTTGAATTTATAACGATCACCATCAAGAACTTCAACGACTTCAAAATTTGGGTCTAACTTTGTCTGGTTTCTTTCCTCATTTTCAATCAAAACATAATCATTAATAGCTAGCACAGAAACCTGAGCATTACTTCGATCAAATCGATTTTTGTCATAATTTGCATTTTTCTCAATATTCTGTGTCGCTTGCTCTCTAATCTCATCTAAATTAACGTCACTCACATCATCAGCGGTCACTAATCCAAGTGGCCGTGTTACCCTTCCTATCATCAACTCGAGTGGGCTAGATTTAGTCACCCTATTTATAGTAGAGTTAATAGCTAACTGAACCTCTCCTAAAGCGTCCTGCCAAGAGCGGTCACGACAAGTCTCTACAGTTGTCAACATACTCTTGAGGGTACTCATTGCCCTTTCAACCTGACCGTTCGCACGACTGCCTCCAGTAGCTATCAAGTGCAACTCTATGTTGTTAGAAGTACAGAAATGAGAAAATTCTTTACTAGCAAAACAACGACCCTGACCAGCTATTACGCGTTTCGGCCACCAACAACGCTATACAGAACTTAATAGCACAAATGCTACTATCAGTGTAGATATTAAGCGAATGATGGAGCAAAACAAACTTGGCAAATGCATCAATGATGACAAACACCTACTCTTTGACGTCGTTTTTGCCAGACAGTTTACCAGAAGCGTCAATATGGATCGTGTGCCATGGAATATTGAACTTGGGAATGGGATGTAGTTCTGCTTGAACTCTACCCGAGTGGGGCTTAGCTATTTAACAGGTGATACAATTATATACGAATTTTCTAACATATTTTGACATACCTTCAAACCAATAGTGTTCGTAAATCTTTTCGAGAGTTTTCTCCCATCCCAAGTGCATGACAGACTCATGGATGTTATTAATTACAGACCACCTAAAAGATCTTGGTACAATAGGCAGACAACGAGTGCGCCCGTTACGCTGAACTTTACGGTGCAGAATATTCTTACGAATTTCGTAAGTTTTGCGAGTGTCCTCAGGAAAAACTTCATTACGAAGATCAGACACAATCTTACTGATTTCTTTATCCTTTTCCTGTTCAGCTTGTAACCAGTTACTAGTAGTCTCAGCTAAATCGACACGTCTTTCTTCTACCCGTGTGAAGGTCCCTTTAGGTGTCGGGAGAGGATTACTAGAAAGAAAGTCCACATGGCTCATCCATCCTTCATCCTTCCTCAGGCCTTCACGATAAACAATATCAAACTCAAATGATTGCATATAGGCCCACCAACGATGAACTCGCGGAGATAAGTCACCTAACCTTGATACAAGATCCTCTATCAACGGCAGGGGAAACCTATCCGACACAGTGTTGTCATTCAGCTCCCTGTAGTCAACACACATGCGATCTGAACCATCCTTCTTAACAAAGCAACACTGGATTAGAAAAAGGTGAACAATTTGGTCTAATAGTACCTGCTTTCTCTAATTCACGAACCTTAGCAGTAACAACTTCGCGTTCACTCTAAGCCTATAAGGACGAAGACTAACTGTACGACTATGATCTACAAGCCTAATTTGCAACTGTCCTGTCGTTACCCGGGATCTAGGCACACCACTGTGTTCATCAGCGTGACGCTGGGATTGCTAACATAGCAAACTTCCACACGCCTCTCGTTACTCGCCGCTGCTGCAGGAACAGCTCCGGAACTGCTAGCGCCTCCTGCCGCGCCAGCTCCTCCACTGTTGCCACGTGGACATTTCGTAGCAAAATGTCCGGCGTTGCCGCATCTGAAACAGATGATGTCCGAACGCTGCCTCGGTCCCGAAGAGCTTGATTCTGAAGTGGCAGCACTGGTTGCCTTGCCTTTCACCTCACTTCTGGAACGGCAATCGGACGCTCGGTGACCTATTTTACCGTAGTTGTGACATTTCTCCGTTGTCGACGGAAACTTTGATCGCTTGAAATCTGGAGCGGCCTCGGTAGAGTTACCCATCGAAGTTTTCCTTTTCAAAAACGAAAACGCTTGAAGTTCACACTGCACACTTGTTCCTGTTGCTTACTTCGGTAGTAAACGCCAACCTCTGTATACGCCCATCAATTGCGCAATATGAGCAAGCACCGTGATGTTAAGGTAGACAACAACCGGGCGGCGTATGTAGCGTAGCATTTACCTTCCTTAGGCTTGCTACTCGTCATTTTGACAAGAGTAGCGGCTGGTGTGTCCACGCAATCATAACGGGACAAAACAGGCTTCTGAAGTCACTCCACGTCATAACCGCAAACGATACCTGCGCCAGCCAACGTGAAGCACTTCCTTTCAAAGCCTTGTTTAAGCTGATGATCAGGGCGCTTCCTTGAAGCGGTACTTCTGATAGGCACAGATCTGCAGTAGTACACCAGGCACGTGCGTCTACATCCGGCTTCTCCGGGTCAAATTCAGGCAAAGAAATATGCTTGGTACCAGCCGGGCCCCTGATGGCTTCTATCAGGGATATCATGTTCCGATTTTGAGCAGCCAGCAGCGTGCGAAGCAAGTTCTCATCGCACCCTGACGTCATGGCTCCATTCTGCGATGTTTCTTGAGTTTCTTCAGCTCGAGTGTATCCCACTTCTGATGTCGGAGAAGGGGTGTACGTCGGGGCGGTTGCCTTTTCCCGAATACATATTGTGTGGGTCGTGTGGTGTTTTCTCGAGCAGAAAACAAAGTAGGTACAAACAAATAATCTTTAATAACAAGTAGGTAACTTTAAAGGTTAAACAACGAGTCGTAAGGCAGTTCCTAGACTTGTTGTCCGCGCGGCGTTCGATCGGTAAGTGTGTGCCGCTCGGCCCGCGCGAACACTTATATAGACTCTGCCGAAGCGATGACGTTTTCACCGCTTGCGCCTCGTTGTCAAATCAGCTCCCGTACTATTGACCGTTCCGACATATACATTTCGAATATTGTAAGTTTCGCTAATTATAATACAACTGAATGCTTGGAGCGTCTGTGTTTCAATTGGCCAACCCAAGACACCAGTATTCATCACATGTGTTAATTTGATAGAGCTCAGATGTGGTAAAGTATCATTTAATTTAACTTTAGAGCAGCAATCATCTTCTATAATATTAAAATTAGGATGTGGAATATTGATTTTAGTTTCAAATTCTTGAGATGGAATGAATTGAAGTAGCTTGTGGTAAGCAGTATTTAGGCAGGGTTAAAATACCTGCACCAACTATATCATAGTCATTTATAATGCCATTACAATTAATAGAGATTTTTGTTATATCAGATTGAACATATATTCATCTATTATTTTTAAGTTTTTGCCATATATCTATTTCACCTACAATAAGCTTAAAATTACAAGAGTCTGGGATACCTTTTACATGTTCGGTTAAGACCGTCACTTCACAATTTGGATTTCCGACACTTGATTATATATTACCTAATTTGCACAAATAATAATTGTTATTTATCACTTTTGCACTCACTTAAGTCTTCTAACACGGAATAAATTAATTTATCTTGTGTCACTGCCAGGAATTTTGCGGTTGGATTAATTAAAGCGAAAGTATTAGGATTATTGATATCATGAGGAGTTGGTGAAGAGTATACGTGGTACAAGTTGTATTCTACAAAGGATACTAGAGGAATTCTGATTACAAAAATAAGTTTGTTGTCGTTAATGAAAGAAGATATTTCTGCGACATCTAGAATTGCGTGAATGTTACTAGGAACCAAATGTAAAGGTAGGTTTAAAATAACATCGTTACTTTTCGAATTCAATTCATTGTACAATCGCATGGGACTTAGTACAGAAGGATGAACAATAATGATTTCCAACTTATTGGTGTTTGTTAAAACAGTGTCTAAAATTTTATCAAGATTTTGTATGTTATTGTTTAGAATATATTCGGTTTCGTTAAGTTTACTAATTGTATTATTGAATGATGAAATAAAAGAGGTCATGATATGCATATTTTCTTTCATGATTGTAGCTAAATGTCTTTGATCGTCTTGGACTGCATTAATGGCGTCTGTAAAGGCCTTAGCGTCATCTTCATCAAGTGAACCAAAGAGTTGTTTTATTATTGGTCCACCTATACCAAACCAAGCAGATCTTTTAGTTTTGCCTTTATTATCGGTACTAGTTAAATGGGATAGGGACTGTTCCTTGACTTGTTCTGTTCTTTTATAAGTAGGCTTTCCAAAGGACTTAAAATATTCCAACAATCAGTTTTAACCTTAGTAGATTGGTGTGTATTACAAATATGTTTGCACGTTTCTAAAATTCTTTGAATAGTGTCTATATGAGGTTTTTACATAGGATAAATCAGAAAAAGTTACTATGTTCCAATAATTATTATAATATTTTAAAACACCCATCGGATCATAAAAGAGACCTGGACTATTTACTATAGGCGTCGTCATGTTTGATCTTGCAAGGGATATCTAACATGTCTACGATTGATTAAGATTGACATTATTATTGTTATGTACTTAAATTATTTTATATGGACCTTTCCAGATACTAGAAACGCTTTACGCAGTCTGTGATGGTGCTTTACATACACTATATCTCCAACCTTACAAGAAATGTCTCTAGTGTTTTTTATCATAATATTTTTTGAAGTTTCTTTACTACGGAGGATATTTTCTCTGGCTATATTTCTGGTATTGATTAGCTTTTGTTTTAGCGTTTTAACATAATCAGGATAGGTAGCTGTTGGGTCAATATCGTAGATAGAACTAGGTAGATGAGGGTTTACAACCAAACAACAACTCATGAGGTGTGAAATTAGTAGAAGAATGTACAGAAGAAATTGTAAGAAATAATAGCTGTTGGAAGATATTTGTGCCAATCGTCTTGATTATCGTTGACATAGGACTTTAAATATTCTTTTAAAGTGACATGACTTCATTCAAGAGCCCCATTAGTTTGAGGATGACATGGAGTAGAAAAGAGATGTTTAATTTTAAATAGAGATGTGATTTGTTTATATACTTCTGCAACGAAATGAACACCTTGATCAGATAATAGAGTTTTGGGAATGCCGAAGTGACAAATAAATTTAATTAAACAATGAGCTGTTTGTTCAGACCGTTGAGTTAGTAATAGGATAGGCCATGGAACATTTTGTCAAATCATCTTGAAAAGTAACTATATATTTATATCTTTCAGAACCGGATTCGGGTAAAGGACCAACAATATCAGTAGATACTCTTTGGAGAGGTTCGAGAGAAGTAGAATTTATTTCCATTGGAGCTTTATTACAGTTTTATTTTGTTGGCAAAGTGGACAGCGTTTAATATACGATTCAATATCATTTTTCATACCTTTCCAGTAGTAAGATTCCTTTAATTTATTATATAACCGCGATGAACCAATATGTCCGCCGATAGGCAAATCATGATTATCTTTCAATATTGTAGGAACTTCGTTAGGGGTTGGGTAAATTATTTTATTTTTAGAAACCAAGAGTGAGGATTAATAAAAAAAACAAATTGGAGGTAGGCTAACCTCAGTCCTTTAATTATCTCATAACAATAAAAAAAAAGAAACTAAACAAGTATACATATCACATCCAACGAGTATATTAATTAGAAATAAGATTACAGGTAATTCACTAAACACATAAGAGATCAACAATAAATCAATAACGAAATAAATTAAACAACTAAATAATCGAGAAAATATGGCAGACCTATGCATCACGAACGCACGACCTATCAAGACACGACCTTACCAAAGTGCTGCCCGAACAAGCAAGAGAGCGAACATAGGCGGGTACCGTGTTTTTATAGGTTCGCACTGCATAGTGTATTCGTAGAGTGGGGGGTACATCTAATACGGCCTCTCCTGACAGCTGGTCGTCCTCGATCCTGGGCTGCATACCGTTGAGGCGTCCAAGACGTGACTTAGTACAGTGATGGCATCGACAATCAAGCCGTAGCGCTCGTAGATGGTGGCGGGTTGACGACCTCATCCGCGTAACACGGAGACAGCGCAGCAGGTGGGATGTCATCAGTTGCGGTCATCATCGCCAGGAGGCAATGTCGACGTTGACGACTGAGTGGACTCCAAGGTGTCTGCTTCATCTAGAATACATTTGAATCATTAACAGGGCCCTAACATACCCTTTTACCCATCCACAGACACCTGCCTAGCGAATCTAACGCTATGGCTAATTATCTGTCAACGTGATGCACGACTTGGTATCAAATACCAACGATACACTCGACTTGACAAACTAACGCCAATACGACTTAGCACAGCTCCAACGCTCTAATGACTTAACAACGAGTTGTTAACATCAGGACGACTTGGACGCATGTGCTAAACGCCTTCGTTAGTAAACGGCGACTTGACAATGTGCCAACGCCCAAGTTCGCCTACCGAGATAACTCACTACGAACTTACAAAAGAGCGACTTGAAAATACTTCAACGCCTATGGCGACTAGCGGGAAACCCACTACGAACAAAATAGCGACTTGACAGTATTTCAACGCCCGCGTTCGCCTAGCGATATAACTCGCTACGAACATATACTCACATGTCAAAAAAATGCAGCACACGCTTCTGGAGACCACTCGCCACGCCATGGCACCATGTGCTAAGCCGGCGGCTTGCGTCGTCTTCCCCGTAGTCCCCGCTGACAAGTTTCAACTCGTACCGGCCGCAGGGGAGAATGTTCACGACCTTATAAGGTCCTCGCATTCCCGAATCTAGTTTACCTGTCGACATGAGCAGTTTTGATTACAAAAACAAAGTCACCACTATGAAACTCCCGTGGTTTTCGTTTACCCGGTTGTCCTGCTCGGAACGATTTCGGTCCAGAAGTTGTCGGGCTCTGCTCCTATAAAGCTCTCTAAGTGCTTCACCGGTTGGGCTTTCGATGGCCACATCACGCACAAGGGCACGGGATGACTGGGGTCGTCGCTTCAGTTCCTATGACAAGATTCAGCGGTGATGTCCGAGTAGTTTTGTGCTTCGTTATATTAATAA